CTTCAAGAACTTGAGCTGGGGGACGGTGGGACACTACCCATCTGCTTTCCCACCTGGCCTCTCATCATATATTAAATCTGTCTGGGTGGGAAGCAAGATTCCCCCCGCTCGCTATCCACAGGCCTCCTGGTTGTCTTCTGGAAGGGACAGAGATGGTTCGTGACACCACGGTGCTCTGCAACAGCAAGTTCTTCCGGATAGCCTTTTCTCCTTGCTTACAACACGGTTGCAAGACAGAGAAGCAGCTGATGTGAGGCTGTGCTCCCTGTGAGCGGTCTCAGGACTGCAGCATGGAGGCACTTAAGAACATTATTTGTAATCCCTGGATGCAAGAGACAGAAAGGCTTGGGGCCATTTCCAAATATGTGAGCCATAGACCTTGAGGTGAGAGCACATGACACTCCAGTGCACATTTTGGTCTTAAGAAGGGGTTAAGTCTGTACGACAGTCAAGTTGAACGAGTTCTTGAGACTGCAGAGAAAACTGGAGAGATACGAGTGCACCAAACTTTAGAGAAGCGGTCAAGAGGGGTGGGGAAGAAAAGTCTTCCATTGACTGCCCTGTCATTTCAGCTTCTTTCTGCAGAGAAGCGCCACATTAAAAGAAATCATTAAACACCCCAGAAGGTTGTGAAACCTTGTGTAGGAAGCACAGGGGATTGATAAAGTCCTGACAGACGAGTCTGATCACATTTGACAGAATTACAGAAGCAGAGAAACTAGAGATGAGTCTTATCTTCAATAAAACAATTGACGCCTTCATGTAAAAAAACAAAACAAAACAAAAACCCAAACCAAACAGCTCCTTGGCCCTGAGCACACCGGAGGAATGAGACCTGGCTGAGCTGCCCTAAACAAGGGTTGAGGAGGGATGCATAGGAAGAGGAGGCAGAACAGGAGAGGGAAGACACTCCTGAGATGTAATCTCCTAGAGGAAGATGAAGCAAGCTACACAAAAGCGCTTTGAACGTTTGTCCAGGTGCCACGGCTCTGATCCTGCACAGTTAAGCAGATGCTTAACTCGTGCCCTTCAGTAGCCCTGCTGAAGTGACCCAGGCTGCTCACACGCAGCTTGGCCAGGGCCAAGCTGACAGCTGGGAGCTCAAACCGTTCCCCTCTCTCCTTTCCAGCAGCAGAGGAGCAGCCGGGTGCCTCAGCCATTAGCTCAGAAAGTTCAGTCCAGC